TGACAAGTTGAGTAATGTGCATCTTAACATTACACAATTTCACTGAAACAATTTGCATCGTTTATTTATTTCTTTGTATTGCTAACAAAGAAGTTAGCATTGTTAATAACAATGCTAAGAAGTATAGCAGTTTGTTATACTTTTCTTATCCCAAAACATGTGATCGTATACAATAGTTTAAAAGAGAGGTAAATAATACGCAGTGTGCATTTATTTTGATTTTCTTGTTGGATTGAAAATTCGATGTTATTGATACTGTAAATTTCAAGCCCATATATCCATTGTAATGGAATTTGTATTTTACACAATGTTATACAAATTAGATTTGCTCTTCCGGGCGTTGCTACAAAATGATTAAAGTTGATCACAATTTTAAAAACTGATACTGAAAACAGCACCACCATTAAGTTGCTTCTCAATAATAGGACACATTGGTCTTCCTTATAATAGTCAATTGTAAAATATCAGTGTCACAAATTAGTATACATAACTTTTTTTCATATTATTCAGAATGCATAATTCTAAATGATGTTAAACATATCCAAATAAGAAGCTTTACATATTTTACTCATATTGATCAAAATGTTAAAATCAGGTATTCTCGGTAATATATTTTATGTTATATGAGGGGTTGGTCACGGGAACTTAAGACTTAGATAAAACACTAATTCAGCAATAAAATTACTTCATAATGATTTTATTTATGTATTTTGTTACCAAACACACTCTATAAATTCAATATGTAACTTATTATAGACGAACGGCGGAGTCAAAGGCTCCTAAAATTTAAGGATTTGCTAATCGTATTGCGAATATATGTTCTATACATAATTTAAGTATGTGACCCCCCCTGGCGCCAAAGCTGGATCCGCCACTGTATGAGATACCATTAAGCGGTTCGTAATAATAAGTACTGAAGCGTTGCACTTATAAACAAATTAGTCGTGAAGCCTACCTAATGTTATTTTTGCATTTGTGCTATTTGGAGGTTAGTTTTAAATCCTTGACAGTATCAAACATTCAAATTAACGCTCCGATAAACTTCATAGCCATAGCCTTTGACAGTTTCATGGTTACTAGCACATTGAGACAAGAACGTAAGATTTTTCAATATAAAATGGTTGTATCGAGAATATCAAATTTTCAACATAATCTAATTTAAAACATGTTACATTACCATGGGAAACCAATAACATTATTCTACGATCTAAGGTGACCATATTTTTTAAAGTTAAAACCAGGACGGCAATTTTTGGTTATGATAAATAATTTAAATATAATCTTAAGATAGCAAATACTAATTAAGGATACAGAATAATAAATAAGAATTGAGGACTTGTAGTCAAAATTTTATTATTCGATTACAACTTATACAGTAACACCCCGCTTAACGCGGGAGGGGGATACGTTCCATCAAAGTAGAGTGTAATGCGAAACAGCGTTAAACGATGTTTTCTCTACATGGAATTATTGGAATTAGGAAAAGATAGCTAGGAAATTGGTTAGGTATTGAATTAAAAAAGTATGTTTTTTCTAATAAAAATAAAACCTAACATTTATTTCTTATAAAGCCCCAATTAATACCACATTATAATGTCTTGCAAAAATGAAAATAATATAAATAACAAAACAAATATTCTTGAAAAAAACAAAATTCTAAGTCAGTCATATTTAGTGTTCTGCCTTTTTGTGACAAAAGCATCAAATGTTGTTAACCTTTATCCTTTGCGTTGTTCTGTTAAAAGTTCTTCATAAACAGATCTCTAACACCACGCCTTACTTTTGACCTCCTGTGAAAATTCGGATCATTTTCAATGAATTGGTCCATTACTTCAGTTACCATCGAAAGTTTTTTTTGCTCTTCCTCTAAATCACTGTTGTCAACATTTTTGTTTTCTTCTTGTTCAGTTAATTCTTCGAGCTCATCATTAAAAAGATGCTTCTTGAATTATTTCTTCGACATCTCCCACATTTACCTCTTCAGAACCTGGGTTCATATAAAAGAGCGCTAAACGAAACAGTGTTAACCGGGGTATTACTGTGCTCTTATTTTATCTAATTGTAAGATTTTATATAATAGCTATTATTTTTCAATCTATATTGTTTTTTGCTTTTGAGCCATGTATGAAATTTTGTTAAATTTTCTTCATAATTACTTTGATAAAATTAGAACTTATTCGTTCGTTGTCATGATTTTTGTTAATTTTCAAGAAATTGAAAATGAATTTTCGAATGTATTAATTTGAGCGGCTATTTGAACCCGTCTTTGGACTTTTGTACAATAATATTTGCTGAACAGTTGTAATTTTATTAAAAAGTAATTGCGAAAATTTAATTCAACCCTACAATTTTCGAAAACCCGGGTGAATCCGGGACAAAACATCTAAATCCGGGACAAAATTAGCCTTTAAAAGCCCGGGACACAAGGTGGAGATCCGGGATTGTCCCGGTCAAAATGGAACGTATGATCACCTTCTATGATCTTAAGCCCAAACACCGTACTTTAATTTTATTGCAAAGTCAAAACAATAGAGTCTTCTATGTATTGCAAAATATGTGATTTATTGGCATATTCAAGCAGATAAATCCGTGATTTGTATTATAAACTTGTAAATGTTTTTCGAAATTTTTGGTTATGTTAGCGTATTATAATAAGAAATATTAAACGTGATTATCTTACCCTCTTGTATGAGCTGTTATGATGATATCTTTTGTAATACATGGCTTTTACAATATGCAACCCTATGTCCTATCTATAGTATTTGATACATTTATATAATTGATAGTGATGATATATTCTTAATGGATAAATGCCGAGACTATTATAGCTTGAAAACTGTTTTATATGATAATGGATAATATCACTTCTGCTTGATATCGGATAGTCCGATGCGCGGGTTTGGGTCTGTGACTTGGGTAATTACGGTTTTATTCGATCACTGCACTTTTGAATTTGATCACTTTATTTAAATAATGGTGTAACCTCTTATTTACCTGCGAGCAGTTGGTTCTTTGCGTGAAAATCACAATCATTATTTATGCTTATTTTATATAATCATATTTGATATATTTTTGGTATCAAATAGCACAACACTGATCTCTACAATTAAATTAAATGCTAAACTGAACTTCAAAGTGAGCATTATATAAAAATAATATAAACAGTATAATATAAAGTAAGCATAATAGTATAATTTAAATAATAATAATAAAATTTAGGTATATAGAGATAGTTGGTATCAAAGACCAATCCTGATGTGTTCTTCTGTATTTTACCTCATCTATATAATTACAGTTTTCAATATTTATGAAAAACTACACAAATGCTAAAGCGTATCAACATAAATACATATTCTATACATATGCACGTAGTGTTTCGTGAAATTATACCCATTGGTCAAGAGTTTGTGAAACGAAATTTATGAAAATTTAGCGTTTGAATATAATATTGTTCATATTAGGACTTATATATCAAATCATTCTCAGATGAATTTATATCCGAAATAATTATATATCAAAATAATAGAAATTTAAACAATTTTAATCTTTAAATGATTAATATACTAGTACATTTTATAAGATTACATCAATTCATATTTTACTGAATTATTCATATGTTTATATAAATTAAAATAGACAGACAAGTTAATTAACACATTTTTTATATATATTTAAACAGAATTCCACAGTCTAGCGTTATTAGAAAGCAACTCAGTGGTTGACCATTTTTTATCAGTATTATTTTCCCTTAAATCATATTTTAGTTTTCTAATTTCAAATATAAACTAATACCTCTACTGCTTGACTTCAAGCTGTGCGAAGTGGGTATCAAACCTGAAACCTGTGAAGATCAAGCTTTTACAACAAAGCCAATTAATAAATAACTATTTCATTTTTTTAAAAAACGAATAATATTTATTTCTTTGTGAAAATTTGTGATTAAGCTTGCCGAACCAATTGGATATTTTAGCCTAGAAAATTGTAGACATTAGTGAAGAATATTTTTTATAAAGGAATAATATTTGAGTACGCCTAATATATAATTCAATTAGTTTCAAACTTTTCCATACATCACGTCATTATTAATTATTAAGGAATCGAAACCAATTACTCGCTATTTATTGATTTATTGAAACTATTATTCGTAAAACTGTATAGGGAAAATATTTATATAAGATATAATAGCATCTGTATTATATTAACAATGACGTCCCTTATATATAATGCATATATATATATATATATATATATATATATATTTAATATCTGGGTATATATATCTATATGAAATAAATTTGCCGCTCATTCGTCGATTTAATAGTAAAGTCAAATAAGTTAGTTTAATAGTAGGGTCAAATAGAATAAAAAAAATTTATTTAATTATATGCTTCAACACTTGATGTGTGTCATAATTCAGCAAATTTTTGTCAAATCAAATGTCGCAACATATAATTAAATAAAGAATTAAAAGATTCATTTAATCCTTTTCGCTACACCCAGGTGTATGCTTTCATAGAGGTTATATAAAAAGCTGTTGAATTTAACTTAAAATTAACAATATATTTTATTGAAAAATTAAATAAAGAATATTTAAAAGTTATATTAAGGTCTCGTAAACTAAGCAACGGTGCTTACAGCCAAAAAAATAACAACGAAAGAAAATACGTTTGTTATGCATTTTCAAACATTGCTGTTTATCTTCCGATAGCAATGTCATAAGAATCTGGTTATATATTTGTTCCCTCTACTTTCAAATATTGTTTTCAATTTTTTTTAATTTTACTGGTTTTTGAGATATCGGTGATGGACCTTTTTATCCGCGGACATATAAGCCCCGCTCTACCCTATAAAAAAAATAAATAAATATGTATATATTTACATATAAATATATATGTTTGTGTGTGTGCGTGTGTATGTATATGTGTTTGTGTTATCTTGAATATATTTGCATCAAATACAACTAAATGAAGCATATATTTAATATAATATTTATTTTACAGATAATGCATTCGCTAAAGTGCGAATACAATACAGCACCACATATAGGATCAAAAGCTGATCTACAAAACCATTCTCAGCCCTGCATTAATATCAATTCAAGTTACTATGGTGATGATGTTAAATTTGAAATAATTGGCACCCTTGTTCGCGAAACTCTACTAAAAGGACAAGAAATAAAGCGATATATTAACAATTCTGCATATGAATTTTCCAGAAGCGCATGTGATCTAGAGACTGCAAATAATAGGAAGGACCCAGAAAAATCTTTTAAGAATCAAGCAAATGAAACATTTCACGTGGACAAATCTGTTCCAGAGAAAATGTTTTTCGATAATGAAACATATATAAAGTCTAGTACCCCAGTAGACATGAGTATGCCTAATGATACTTATACAATTAATTCAAATACTCAAACACCACCGCAACAATATTGTTTGCGGTGGAATAATTTTCATACAAATTTAACTAGAACTTTTAGTGAATTGTTTGTTACGCAAAGTTTTGTTGATGTCACCCTCACTTGTTCTAAATCAAAAAGTTTAAAAGCCCATAAACTTGTCCTGTCTGCAAGTAGTCCCTATTTTTATGAATTATTTCTTAAAAACAATTGTGAACATGTTCTTATTATTATAAACGATGTAGAATTTAATGAATTAACCAAAATTATTGAATTTATGTATAAAGGTGAAATAAATATAGTGCAAGAAGAAATTGAACCTTTATTAAAGGTAGCGCAATTACTAAAAGTTAGGGGCTTGGCGGATTTAGGACATGATGATAGATGTTTTGATAGCCGCCAAAAAAATATAGAAAATTTGAAGGAATTTAACACTAAAAAATTCTTGGGTGCAATATCACAAAGTGATGAAATTACATGTCGTTGGTTGAAAAGTAACGATCTGTTGGAACACCTAAAAATAAAAGACAGTGTAGCCATTTCTGATAATGAAAGCGATAGTGATCAGACTGAGGAACTTATTCGAAAAAAGAAGTTTTTAATCGAGAATCAATTAGACGGTAACAGTTTAGGAAAAAGACGCTCTGATTATAGTGAAATAAGTATAGAAAGTAATATTCCAATTAAACAAAGAAAAAGAAATTACGACTTGAATTTTGATAAAATGAATGTGATAGAAATGCCAGATAAATTTGTTGAAACGAATAGTGAGAAGATGTGTGGTAAATTAGGTATAGATTCGGATTTATTTGTTAATGATAAGTTTTTAAATTGTGTAAACCCACCACCTACAATAAGAGCCTTACTAAATAGCTCACCATCGGCCATAATGGATGGTTCAATAGCAACATTAAGTGAAAGTGCAAAATTTGAGGCGGAAAAAATAGTTGGAGCATCTATAGGAAACGACAGCATTGTCGAAAAGTTAGATGATCTGGAAATAAAACCTGGCATAGCAGAAATGATTAGAGAAGAAGAAAGGGTAAGTTTGTTCAAAATTATTTAGTATTAGTACATTTGCAAAGAATTTAGACAAACACGAAAAAGCATATAGATGTGGGTGTTTTTATACATTGCACATTTATATAACATTAGTAAGTCAGCTTCCAAATTTTATTATTATGAATGATTCTCATTACAAACAGAAATCTAAATGCATAGATTTCTTACAAAATATTCGAGCAAAAAATGATTTTTTATATAAAACTTGAAAACCGGCTAAATCGGTTCTCTGGAAAATTTACGTTTCGAAAACCGGTTTTCTGTAAAGTCGATTTTTGTATAAACCATACTTACAATTAGTACATTTGCAAAGAATTTAGATAAATACAAACAAGCATATATACATGGGTGTTTTTATGTATTGCACATTTATAGGGGATGACACAAATATTTTTATTTTACATAACATGTTATTATTACAAATACAACTTAAGTGCGTGTGTATTAATTATTGAAAAATTAAAGGCTAATTCTTATTATTTTATGAGTTTATATCTTATATATAAAAATGGATCGCAAAATGTGTTGGTAAGCGCATAACTCAACAACGCTTGGACCAATTTGGCCAATTCCTTTTTTAAAATGTTCGTTGAAGACCAAGGATGGTTGTTACGGCGAGAAAAAAACGAATAATTGCCGGCAAAACCCTAAAAACAGCCCTTTTCTTCTTTAATCGAGTAGGCAACGCAATTTGTAAAAAAAAAACAATGATCTATGTCATGACATTTTGTGTAGTTTTTGATAATAAAATTTTGAATATATTTATATAAACATAGAAATCTTTCTATTAATCAAGCTATATTGGCAGCCAAAACATTGATGTAAATTAATTAAATTTCAAAATTCAAGAACAAATTACAGGCGAAACAGTTGATTCGGCAACTAACCAAGACAATCCACCGGAGTTTTTAAACTCGCTGGATTTGCTAGGATTGTCACCTCACAATCTTCAATTATAGGTTGGATCGGCAATTATAATGTTGCGAAACATCGACCAACTATATTCAAAGGATGGTATAAAAGAGCAGAAGATGTTCTCGCACCATGCATCCCAATGCGTTTCCAGTGCGTTTATGTTATCATTAAGTGTTTGTGTATTAATTTAGAAAACCCATGTTTCTCACATGGAAAATCGTATGTTGTTTGTTCCCATATTGAAAAACCATCAGATTTGTTTGTCTATGCGCCAGGTAATCAAACAAAAAACATCGTTTATCACAAAGCACTACAATGAAAATTGAACTGATTTTTGAATTATGATTTACATTATTAAAATTACTTACTTTTAAATGCTTATAGTCTTTTATTTAATTATTTTTAATTCACACCGAATTATTACCAGGGTGAGGGTTCTGTTCAGAATAATTTTTTGCAAAGAATAGAAAAAAGGTAGGCACAAAACACCGTCACATTACAATTTTTTTTGACAGGACGAAGTCTGTCGGGCCGGCTAGTTTATTATAAAATTGTAAATAATTGTTCTTATATGTTTATTTTGAAGGCATATTCTATTAGTTCTTATATATTTATTTTAAAGGCATATTATAGAATATTCTTATTTAAAATATTATCATTCTTCATTGAATATTATTAGAAAGAACATTAATTTTTTATTAAAGTTTTTAACGTATAAAAAAATGTACACAAACAAATATTTGCAAGTGAAGTAAAATGTTTAAATTATCACTACGTTAAATTCCGAACGTACGTAAAATTTTACTAATACACAATTTTAAATTTTGGTTTTGAGTTTTTCAAGCTTTTGTATCCTGAAAATCTGTTATTTTTTTTTTTTAATTATGTATATATATATATATATATATTTGCAGTTGCAATTTATGATTATTATTAATAACTACATGCATATTATTAATAAATTGTTATTTAATTTATACGAGCAGCACAAGTTTCATTTTAAAAGTTGTAAATCATTAGCGGGCATAATGTAAAGCAATGCGATTTGAAATGGTATTATAATACGACTTCAAGAGAATAAATTACAAAATCATTACACGTGTATTCAGTCATTTAGATTTTGTGATCTGTGGATAATTCATAATATATTGCAAATTGTTTTTTGAAGCGTTTGTTATATTGAAATTAATTAGAATATATATATATATATATATATATATATATATATATACATATACATATACATAAGAGCGGGTCGATTTGTATGGGTCAAAAAAGTCGCTTGGGCACATATAATTTTGGGATACTAGAGATCAAAAGAAGATACTTTGCTGAAGAAACTAAACCTCTAAAATGAATTCCATTGTCCCATGCATTGACCCAAAAATAAGGGTTTAAATTTGAAAAATTACATTTTGACCCATTTAGAATGCTCCAATCATTTAGAGAGTGAAAGGCCGATCCACCCATGCCCCTGGCTCAACCCCTGCGGCCCTCCCTAAGAGTTTTTCAAAATTTACATAATAAATTTTCAAAATTTATATTCTGATGTCCCGTGCATTGACCCTTATTTTCGGGTCAATGCACGAAATATAAGAATTCATTTTAGAGGTATGGTTTCCTTAGCAAAGTATCTTATTTTTATCCCTAAAATCCGAAAATTATATGTGCCAAAGTGATCTTTGAATCGACCCGCCCTAATAAACATATGTATATCACTGTGTGTAATGGGTAGAATTGCCCTAGGACAGGTCCGTAAGCTCCGTTAAAGTCCAACTCCAAATTTCAGTGGTTTTTTACTGTGGTCCTAGAAATGTTATTCATTCAATTAATAAAATTTAAACACAATAACCGAATTATATTCATAATTCTACCAAAGCTCTAGGTTGCACAAAAGCTCATAATATTCAAACGACGTGAGATATTTTTTTTTCTAATTTTTTTTTCTTAACCTTAACTTTCTTAAATATTGTCACCTTGTTTTGGCTAGACGTCAAGGTCTGGGTCTCTTCTTTCATTTTTGCTCAAAATTCCGCCCTAATATTTGAAGTGATGCACAATCTTTCAATTCTTGACCTATATCCTCGAAGATTCATCTCTTTGAAAATTTCTGATCACTTTTGATTTCCACGCTATATGTATTCAGTATTCTTCACAAGCCCTAAAGGCAGGATTTAAAGAAGGATGTCAATTCTCCAACAAATACCATCGACTTCAATATCCCCAAATACGAGCTATGTTGTCTAAAGCTTTTGACCATTATATGAAACAGGGTCAGAAATGCTTCTCTACATCCGATATTTTTTTATCTTCTGAATTTTGAATAGATAATCTCTGTGAAGTGATGTTCGATCTTATTTTCTGGATGGCAAGAATCTTTCCGGTGTTTAAAGTCATTTGAAATCTTTCATAATCACTACGTTGAACTATTCCTTAAGTTCATCGACCAACATATTGTCAATTAATTTGTAAATTTCGATATGGATATGTACATGTTCACCACCACTTACAACTTTGAGATCCAAAAATCGTTTTAACTCCGGAATAGTGTATAAAACATCACAACAACATTTCTACATTTTTTTAGAATGTTTCTACACCTATTCTGGAAAGTACTCTGTATTTTGCTTCCATATTAGTCGGAACAGAACCCGTTTGGATGGAATGTTTGATCAAAAACCGTCTCCAACATTATTTGCTTCAGTTAATGATGGTGTTGCTGAATTGTGTTTTAAATCTTTGTCTCTTGTGTTGTTGCATTTAATTGAATGTGAAGAATAAGTCAGAGCATCGCAATCAAGTAAAGAGTCGAAGTTTACCAAAAATAATAGTATTGCAAAATGTAATTAAAAGAAAAGATAATAGACAAGAAAGAAACTGGTTAGCCTAAAGCAAAAAAAGTCCATGAATAAACAACAAATGGCCTGCGAATTGAAGGGCAGCGAAAACAAAAAAAATAGAACAAATGGGAATAAAATAGATAGAAAAGGTTCAATGATAACAATTTTTTAGATATTTTTGTAACAAAACATTAGTGGAATCAGAGATACTACGAAACCAAGAGCTTCTGGCGTAAAAAATATACGAGTATGTCGATCAAGGTGTAGCAGGTGTTGTAACTTACTGCACAAATTTTTCTGTTTTTTCACTATTATGCTTGTATCATGAGAAATTTACATTTTATTCGAACCACCATCTGCATGTAAAGGCATACGTGTTTGTGATCATAGATTGTGGAAGAAGTGTATAATTAATTCAATTTTGGCTCATCCATAACAATTATTATTAAAAAAAGAAGTTTGTGGATCCACCAATAACCCAATCGTGGGTTATTCTATGAGAATAACGCAATGTGTGGTTGTATTGAAATGAATATCAGAATTTAAGTCTAAATCAGATGATTTATGACTGTTTGGGTTTAATTTGATTCAAGAAGTACATATACTTTAAATAATGTCTATTTTCTAGTGGCGATACCTGAACAGTTCTGTAACTTCATAATTTGTGAAGAGTAAATAAACAATACTATAATAATTGAATATTTCAGTAGCCTAACAATTTTTGTAACTTTATGTAAGAGATTGCTGAATGTAAGAATTGCTTTGAACTGTAATAAAGAAAGTGCAGCTTTAATTTACAGGAAAATCGATTAATTCAGAAGCTAAGGCCTAATACTGCTAATATTACGGCAATGCGCAAATTCTTTCATTGCAAAGATAAAAGATTAGTATCATAATGCCTGATTCTGAGGGTTTAGTTGTGGTTTTACTCACCACGCCGGTTACCATAAAAAGATTCTGTTTTAAACACAAGGTATTCAGAAAATGTTCTTATCATTGAAATATTTTGCAAAATAACTATATTATATTATATTATATTACAAAATAGTTTGGATAGATACTTTTCCAAAGCACATCGCTGAATTTAAACAGAGTTTCTTACATTCAGATTTGAATCCACGGAAAAATGAAAATTGACATTAAACAACTATCCCAACATAAGACCGTACCAAGCCAAAAATATTATTGACTCAAGATCCGGATAATAAAATTACACCAAACTTACCTGCTAACCAGGGGCATTACAGATTCATGTATAACCCGTAAAATCTCCATTCTATTCGATACCGCTAATATTCTTGTAAATGGTGTCCATCTTACCACAAACAATTGCAGGTTCAACAATCAGTATAATGATTTGCTTACTGTCAAAGAAACTGTGACTATCTTAGAAAAAAACTAGCTAATGGAATGCAAATGGTTTGGATAATGACACGCAAGTCTTGTAATATTTCAAAATAATGGTGAAAATATATTGCTGATCATTGTATTATAAAAAAAAAAGCTTTATGAATATGCAAGACTAATTTAGCTTAAAACCAAGTGGATGGCCCCATGCAATCAAAGTTAAATAAACCATTAAACACATGGAAGCTGAACCCTTCCAGAAATACTTTTTATAAGCAACAAACTTGTACTATTGGCCATATTGCTGTCTACCTAATTACTATGAATCACTGCAAACTAGTTTACGGAATTGTTATTACTATGGGCCGTTTAGTTATTCCGATAGGCGATCATCGATCCAAGCATACCTTCGGGCATCAGACTGATCACATATTCAAATGACATCTTTGCAAATCAGTCAAAATGAACATAGAATCATATCAAACGGTAAGTCTAAGTATTGCCTTATATAATATGAAAATATTAAACATGCGAGGAAGAGTCAATGTACATGGACAAGGTGCGATGACAATGCACAAAATACTAAATCAATTCTAATATTGAAAATGCACTTAACAAGACTGGTAAACTCCAGAACTGTAAAATAACATTGTTTTACTACTTTCTCACAGTTATCTCTTCTTCTTCATATGACATAAGATCATATAACTTCGCAGACATGATCTAACTGAGATCTCTAGAATGTCAGCTGAACGTGCACAAATATTTTGTATAACCAATTGTTAGAAAATTGGCTCTATTATCCATTTTCTAACCACCAAAAATGGCTTTATGGTGAAAGATTTGGGTGTGAGCAATTGATTGAAGCTCCTATTCAGAATTTTTGGAAGCTTGATGATCTACGTTTAAAACTGGTACAACCAAATTAGAACACAGTTATGGTAAATGTGTCCATCTTAATGGAGATTATGTTGAGAAATAATGTAATCGTTGTACGTGCTTTATGGTGCCAACGGTGATTCTTCGTTTACTAATTGAAACATTGTTCATTCTCACTATCTTCATATTGTTAGTATGTCCAAATTGGCTTAATATTGATCTTGTGCAAGTAAATTTTGTTGTGCGTGTAAAGTTTTGATTTCCTCTCGAAGACCCATAATTATTCCTTCTCATCTCGTAAAATGTCTCTTTTTCCAGGTTACATTTGACCGTGTATGTCTTTTCTATGATATCATTATTGAGATTGACTGCAGGACATATCTCGTCTTGTGATGAATTTTCACTTACTACTGGTCATTTTTATTCTTAAACCTATGGGTCGATTCTGCCGCACAACAAAGGCTGTAGCTTCTATATATTGTGTCACTGAATCATACTGAATACTGTCAAATTTCTATGTATATGCATTCAGGCGTTTTACACATGAACTGCAACGTCACTTGTATGTATGAAGCTAGATCAGAAAGAATTAGGTTTTCTATTTGACAACCTGATAAAAACGGCACAGCAACCGCATGGCTTTGTTCAATATTCAGAACGAATTAGTATGGGAAGTTCTTCATAACATAGCCTTGCCATTACATTGGTCTGTTATGCGACATACCAATGGACGGAATCGGTTCATTTACCGCTTTGGATTAAGTTAAGATGTTCTTGCATCAAGTTCGATCTAATGATAATTGAATATAGCAGTAGTATTTGCCACAAGTCAATATTTAGATCGACAAAGCTCTCCATTGGTGTTCCGCTCCAGACTGTTTGTTCAGGAGCTCTTTGGAGCCTCCAATAATTACTACCTAAATATCATCATTGAGATTGACTGCAGAAAATATCCCGTCTTTTGCGAAGAACAAAAGTGATGAATTTTGACTTATCACTGTTCACTTTTATTCTCCTTAAACTTAACCACTTAAGTTAAGATGATCTTGCAACATGTTCAATGGTAATTAATCGACAATCAATGGTAATTAAATACTGCAGTAGTATTTGCTACATTTTTTCTATATGTCAATATTAAGATCAACAGAGCCTTTCATTGGTGTTCTGCTTCCAGACTGTTTGTTCGGGAGCTCTTTGTAGCCTCCAATAAATACTACCTAAATATCATCATTGAGATTGACTGCAGGAAATATCCCGTCTTTTGCGAAGAACAAAAGTGATGAATTTTGACTTACCACTGTTCACTTTTATTCTCCTTAAACTTAACCACCTTGGATTAATTGTAAGTTAAGATGATCTTGCAACATGTTCGATGGTAATTAATCGACGATCAATGGTAATTAATTATTGCAGTAGTATTTGCTACATTTTTTCTATATGTCAATATTTAGATCGACAGAGCCCTCCATTGGTGTTCCGCTCCAGACTGTTTGTTCGGGAGCTCTTTGGAGCCTCCAATAAATACTACCTAAATATTATCATTGAGATTGACTGCAGGACATATACCCTCTTTTGCGGAGAACAAAAATGATAAATTTTGACTTACCTTCTAGATAAGGCTTTCTATCTGACAACCTGAGAAAAACGCCTGACTGCACAGCAACTACATGGTTTTGGTCAATATTTAGAACGAATTAGTATGGAAAGTTCTTCATAACAGAGCCTTGCCATAACATTGGTCTGTTATGCGGTTATCAGTCCATCTACAATTTTGGATTAAGTTAAGATGATCATATTCGATCCAATCGTAATTAAATATTGCAGTAGTATTTGCTACATTTTTTCTATATGTCAATATTTAGATCGACAGAGCCCTCCATTGGTGTTTTGCTCCAGACTGTTTGTTCTGGAGCTCTTTGGAGCCTCCATAAATACTACCTAAATATCACCATTGAGATTGACTGCAGGACATATACCCTCTTTTGCGGAGAACAAAAGTGATAAATTTTGACTTACTTCTGTTCACATTTATTTTCCTTAATCTTAACCATTTTGGATTAAGTTAAGATGTTCTTGCAACATGTTCGATGGTAATTAATCGACGATCAATGGTAATTAAATATTGCAGTAGTATTTGATACATTTTTTCTATATGTCAATATTTAGATCGACAGAGCCCTCCATTGGTGTTCCGCTCCAGACTGTTTGTTCGGGAGCTCTTTGGAGCCTCCAATAAATACTACCTAAATATCATCATTGAGATTGACTGCAGGAAATATCCCGTCTTTTGAGAAGAACAAAAGTGACGAATTTTGTTCACTTTTATTCTCCTTAAACTTTACCACTTTGGATTAAGTTAAGATGATCTTGCAGTGTGTTCGATTGTAATCAATCGACGATCAATGGTAATTAAATATTTGCTACATTTTTTCTATATGTCAATATGAGCCCTCCATTGGAGTTCCGCTCCAGACTGTTTGTTCGGGAGCTCTTTGAGCCTCCATAAATACTACCTAAATATCACCATTGAGATTAACTGCAGGAGAACAAAAATGATAAATTTTGACTTACCTTCTAGATAAGGTTTTCTATCTGACAACCTGAGAAAACGCCTGACTGCACAGCAACTACGTGGTTTTGGTCAATATTTAGAACGAATTAGTATGGAAAGTTCTTCATAACATAGCCTTGCCATAACATTGGTCTGTTATGCGG